TAAATCAAATTCACGCTCTCGAATATACTCACACACTTAAAGAAAGTGACCATTTAAACTCGTGCACATAGCACGGAATAGAACCGCACGCTGTGGACATAGCGTACCGACATGTCGCTCGTGGACTGGCTGCGTAGTTCCAATGTGTACCACCCGCGCTAGTTTACGAGGTGGAAAAGTGATCAGGCTTCTATCTTCTGCTACGATCGAGTGGCCTTCTCACGTACCGTACTCTCGAAGGTTTACCCGAAAGCTACTAGGAATACTCAATTGTGATTGGTCGCTCGTCACGTGAGCGATGCGTGAAGCGTGGTTTCTCGAGAACGCGATTGGTCGCGATTTCTCGCACTGCGCGTTCTTTCTAGACTTTTGCATTGTTCGAAGGTGCGCTACGGGGTTCACACGAGCTAAGACACGGCGACGTGTGGGAGCCATTGTATGACTCATTCGACGCTGCTTCACGCCGAAGATCGAGGTAAGGACGTACGGCGTCGATCGAGCTCTGGTGAATCCTCTCTTGTGACGAGAAAAAAATCGTTTTCATCGCTCGTCAGCGTTCCTCTTCGTTGTTCCACGTTTCCGCGTAATAATTTCGGTGAGTCAAATATCCTCGGCGTAGATACGCCGAGATATTTCATTCTACTATGCGTACCGTCTAGTGGTCGCGAGAGGCCAAAGCCAAGCAATGGCGTGAACGACGCGAGTCGGAATTTTCATTTTGCGCGTTATTTTTTCTTTTGTCTCGTTTTCTCTCTCGTGTGTGTGTGTCTTTCGGAATAAAAAGATAATTGTCGAGTTAACGAAATTATAAGATCGTCGTTTACATTTCGATTTTCGCTCGCAGCGGCGGTCCACGTAGCACAAGACGCTTCGAAACAAACATGGCGTTGTTGCGTGGGGCAATTTTGTGCGAGAGCACGCGAGCTCGTATAAATACCCACACGTGCGTGTACGGGCACGAGACTCGAGTTAAAAAAAAACTTGAAGATATTTATTGTTCAATTTGTTTGTGTTTATCTCGTTATTCGCAAAACTCGTGACACGGGCTTGATTGCATATATAAATTTGTAAATCGATTGCGGTCGAAGTGGCGCCACAAATTCGGTCGGAACATCGCGGTCCATCTTTGTTCTACATTCGATGAGAAGTAAAACCTAAAGTGAATTATGTGATGAAGAATTTGCTAGAGCATTGCGTTGATCAGAGCCGGAATATTTGGATTTTGTATTAAAAGAAGAGCAGGCAAAATTGTTTTGTTTCTCGCAACGTTACGAGTTACAATTTTGTGTGAATGATCGAAAATGATATACCGATGCTTCAAGTTCATTAAGTTTGTTCAATGTGATTTTGCAGTAACAATGGTTACTAAAAACTCAATGAGCAAAGAAAGAAAGAGTTTATGCGACACGGATTTAAATGACTGAAAACAAATAGTTAAGAACAGATAGTACATAAAAAAACACTTTTAGATACAGAAAGGGGAAATTTAATGTATGTTGCAGGGATTTAGACTACTTCAAGAGTGTGTTAGGTGTATCAAGATCTCAGCTGCCATTCCGATCAAGTGGATTTAGCACATTAGTAGAGAGCAGTTAACTGCTTGTTTTCTGCTGCTACTTTTCAATTGTTCTTCAGAAGTGGTTTTGGTGATCAAACATCTTTGTTCTTGTTCAGCTCTTAGATTTCAACCTACATTTTATATACGCAAGAAATAGAAAAGCAGAAGAAAGAAGCTATATTTTGAAAGGTAATACTCAATCATAATAAGAAAATTAGTTTATAATTTTATAATTCCTAATTTTACAACGAAATAAAAAACAAACAAAAAAAAACAAAAAAAAATAAAGAAACTCTAAGAAAGATATGAATGGTACGGACAATAACACAAGTCTGTCATCAATTTTTTATCGTCTATAAATAGCATGGAGTTTATAGCTGTGTTTTATTTTTACAAAAAAAAACTTATTAAACTATACAATAAGTTTGCAATAACCTAATTTTCTGAAAATAAAAACTATTCTCTTAATCATTCTCTCATATAACAAAAAAAAAACATAGTAATAAATATATGTTTCATTTATCAAATGAAGCCAAGCATCTAAAAAGCTACTTTTTATTCTGAATTAATCAGTTCATTTTAAAAAGTGATTTGGTGTTTGCCACAAGTGTATATGTTCTTGATATTATACATCACAGAGAGCATACCTTTTGATGATCATGGATGATAAATTTTTTTACTTTTACCTTCAAAATATTTTTAAGTAGTTCTATAAGTCATGTTATTTCTATGTTTTGAAACCATGTTGGTTTGTTATATCTTTATTAATAATTAGAAAAGCATTTGTTTTTGTTCTTTTTATTCAATAAAGGTAAGTTTTGACATCTCTTGATACATACGGTAGTTAATGCACAGTTTTTTTTTTTCACATCTTTTGGGATCTCAAAACAGATTTTTAAGATTTTAAAACAATGCTTTTCTTTCAATCAACATTGTACCCTGTATTCATTCTAGATTAAAACTCTTATTTCGTTATTACTTGTATATTTCTTGTTTCGAGTATAATTAAAGAACAAAAGATTTTCAAAAAAAATCAAAAACAAGTTTAAATTAAAAAATCATAAGAATAGAATCTCTACTCATAGTTTTGTTATATAATAATTTAAATCGTGAGATAAACTTTTGCTACGGTGTTACAAGTCTTGTACAAGTACTGTAAAACACATACAAAGTGCATAAACAACGCCTGACTCTTAGATGTCTAAGATCCGTATTTAATAGTCGCGTTTTTCTGAAGAATACAAAAACTAAGTCTTGAGATTGCGCAACATGGATTGCGCCGAACGAATCTCAAGATTCAGTTTGACAATTACTCAAATAACATTTCCGTCTTACATGGCGGGATAAATAAAAAAAAAAAAAAAAAAAAAAAAAAAAAAAAAATCAGCTGAAAAAAATTGATCAACAATTATTAAAGAATAAAAGTGAAAATGCTTTCCTGTGATATCGTCCTATCGTTTTTACGTGCATCCTACAATTGCATACAAACCAGAGTCAGCACGAAAGAAGAAATTGAGAACTTTTCCGATGATTAACTGACTGGGAAACGAACCGAGCCAACGGTTCTCTCTTCTATCGTCTTATTGCGGATTTCACTCGTGTCTATTTATAGCGCACGCATCACGAGACACATGCGTATATACTTCGCGGAACGAAACTAGAGTCAGTCGCGTAACACAAACAAAAAAAAAAAAAAACGAATTTTTAATACACAATTTAATTAAGGACAGTAAAACATGCAAGAGACTAAAACAAGAGATCGGCGAATTGATTTTGATCTTTGCCGCTTTCTCGAATTTTTATATATTCAGCTAAATAAAGCAATTTAAAGCAAGTAGACACATCGTACGTGATCAGCGAAGAGGGATCGGAATGCGAGAGCGTAAGATGTTTAATCCTGGACGCAGCTGTGGTTTCATATTTTTTTGTGTACGAAATAAAAAGCTGGCGAAGTGCAAACGTGTCATTGTTACACTTCATATTAGCCGACGTGCAACGTGCGTCTCACGTGAATTCTCTTCGTGCTGCGTTTCGAACGTGAGTCATGATTTTCCAGTTGCAGCCAATATATCCACATTCGAAACCTCCCAACCTCCTGAATTCTCCCTCTTTTGTGTTCTCTCAAATCTGCGAAACTCCAAGTATCCGTTAAGCGGCAACGTTACCACGGAAAGTAGAGCACGTGACTTTTTTTTTCTTTTAATAATTTTCTATCGTACGAGAAAGAATTGAATAGAAAGTTCTCCGTACAACTACTGCTAAAAGACAATCGTAAAAGATTTCTCTTTTTCTCTCTCTCTCTCTCTCTCTCTCTCTCTTGATACTGTGTATAATATAAATTCGATGCGTGTCGATAAAAACTCGATCGGAAGGATTTATATAATTTTTGCCGCGAAAATAGTTTGCAGAACTATATGCGCACAACACGGTGAATCTAAAATTCCACACACACGTCACTAGTAAAATTTAACTTTCCGACACAGATCCAATAAAGTCTTGTGACAATCCAGTTTTGCGGTCGTGGGGATCCCGTAATTAAGTTAAGTTCCGAGTATCGCACACGTCACATCTCAGCGACACATACATACATACACATTGAACCGCTGTTGGAATTTGTCGTCACACGATTTGAATTCCAGCCCTGCAACGCTGTTTTTTTTTTTTTTTTTTTTTTTTTTTCTGCTTTTGTCTTTAATGTAAAATTGCGCACAAATTATTTTGCGGCGCAATCGGTCGTTATTTGTTAAATTTTTAAAGAGAGAGTTTTTAGGAAAACTGGCTTCTCGTCACGCTAATTCGATTCTACATTCTTGCATATGTTTGTGAATGCATATGCAGAAACTTGATAGAGAGACCGCAGCGAGAAACGATCGAGACATGTTAGTTGTTGGTTACGACGAGATGGGATATTAATATAGATGCTCTTTTCGCCATTGTGAACGAAGACGTTGAGACGAACTACGGACACTCACGCGGGAATTTCCGCTTTTTCCAGCCCTTTGCCGGTTCCGTTTACATCGTTTTTCATGGGAGACGACGATTCGTTTTCGAATGTGAGCCGAGAGTCTATCAGCGTGTGTGGCTGATTTTTAACGCACAGCCGAAACGTCTTAGTCACAAAATGCCTACCTGGGTACAATCGTAAAAACGTCACACAGTCTATTTTTGGACTGGCGCACTTTTAATTACCGCTTGTTTAAACGTCAACAATTATTGCGTTGAGTCATAACAAGATGTGTTATCACGACATTGGGATAAAGCAATTTATCTCTCCGCATGCTGCCTGGCGTTGCTGGAACTCCGAAACTTTAAACCATTCGAATTACAACACTTTATAACGGTTTTGACCGAAAAGATTAATAAAAAAAATTTATATATATATATATATAGAAAGACATTTCGTGTGACAACGGAAGTGCATTCGTCTCTTGGTGTGTTGCGACCGATTCCGAAGGAACTTGCTGTGAACACACACTGCGTTGTATAAAAGTTGGTTTCTTATTTTCGTCACGAACGCACATTCTCTTAAATGTTTGTCTCAAGAATCAAATGATTGTCGGCCGTTGGAGAACGTTGTGTTGTGTGCGGATTTTTCTCGTCTCCGTCTCCCCCGAAGAGAAGACATCGCTCAGTCGGTGATAAATAAAATTTATTTGCGGAAAACGCATATATCGCACACGCGTTTTGACACGCGTGTATCATCCGATTTGTTGTGAATTCCGTGAGGGATTCGCGAGGAAACATGTTAGACGAACGAAGATCCTCCGTTTGTTTTTTTTTTTTTTTTTTTTTTCGATTCCGAAAGGAGACACAGCGGTTTCACGACAGGTGGAAAACCCGAGGAGAGGTGTGGAACGAGGCGGCGTCATCTCCGGGCTCTTCTACGCAGAAAAACGCAATCGCGTGCGTCTGAAGCTTCGTATGTGTCCCCCTCGAAATCCAGCAGGAGAGAGAGGCGATTCGTCGAGTAGTCCAATCGAAAAAAAAAAAAAAAAAATTAACGACCGCTTTTTCATGCGGAATTTTTTATTTTCGACCAAGTTCCTCATTTTAGCCTCGCGTTTTTTTTTTTTTTTTACGTCGTTCTGGCGCGACAACCGTGTTCATTTATTAATTTTGTCATAATCGCACTCATTTCGCATCGAGTTGTGGTCATTTTAGAAACAGGTATTTATATATTAATAACGGCATCGCTTTTTTTTTTTTTAATGATCGCGTGCCTAATTATTACAATCTTGCGAGAAAACATGTTTAATAAGCAGTAAAACATGGTTGGTTGCGAGCACACACAGTTATCGGAAACCGGCCGATTGGCGTGAAAATAACGCCAAGTTTGCATCGAAACGCTGTAATTACAGTTGGCCGAAATGCGACAATCTTTCTGAATAACAACCAGGAACGATCTCGACGAGATTATCGCTTGAGATAATGAGAAGCAAAAGTTTATTTCTTAATAATACCTTGATGTGTTTTAAAAAGATTTTTAAATTCAAAGAAATTTTAAAAATTATATATTTTAAATTATACATATTTAAAAATAATATACGTGTAACATATGCTGTAAAATTATATACTAAAGAAACAATCATTTTGACAATTTTAAAAGATTTAAAATATAAAAGTCATTTTTTTAAAATCTGTTTGCTGTGTTTATTTTAAACAATGATTTACATATATTTTGTAAATTTATATTAAAATACTTTGAAATCTTTTTTTTTATATATTCAGCATTATATTTAACTTATACGTCGTTTCATCACAAGTGAAACGTTTATGTTTATTGATAAATGTAAATTTTGTTACCGCTTTGCAATTTAGAACATTTCCTGATTGCAAGTGCAAAGTCTGGTTTATTTTTTTCTCTCTCTCTCTCTCTCTCTCTCTAATTAGTATTTTTCTTTTTTCTTGGATATTCTGACTCGAAAGCTGCAGGTGGTGAAACCTCAGATGCAATCGATATGTATATTTCTCGAGAAAAAAGATTTATTTTATTAAAAATAATTTTTAAAAACTTTTTATCACTTTTATTAAAAATAATTTTTTTCTAGATAAAGTACGTATCGCAAAAATAAAAATACTCTCATTCGCTTAGCGATATATCTTATCTTTTTTCTCACTATACAAAATATAAAATTTATGTGAAATTAATGTTTCTTTTATTTTAAGAAACGTCTTCGTTTAATGTCGATAATTTTTATTCAGTTTTGGTCATTTTTTTCGTTTTGCAATCTGATTCTCGCTCTCGGAGTTTGCTCTCTCCCGCACGTGTGATCGAGGCCTTTAGTGTTCGCAGATGTGTCGAAAGAATTTGCAGTAAAAAAAAAACCAAAAGGAATAATAAATTCGGATCCGATTGTTTGTGATATACAGTCGCAGCACGTGGGATATGTTTGTGTGCTTTGGAACGTTCGTCTGCCAAACCTTTCGGCTCCGTCGGAATTCGCTGTAACAATAAAGCTGTCAGATAGACGTGTGCGAGTCTTTTAAACTATTGCGTCTATAAGTTTCTGGAGTTGAAACATTTCGATCCTTTCAACGATCGAATAGATGCAAAATTCTTTTTTTCTGGTTTTTAATGTCATGTATCACTTTTTGAAATGGGTTTCTATTTTAATCACAAGAGCAATAAGCTGCCGGGTGTGTACGAACCACGAATTACTCTTGTATGAGAGCGCTAAACAAATTTTATATAAAAGTTTATTTGTCGAAATGATATAAAAATAAACACACTGTATAAGTAATACGTCAGTCTGAACGTAATGACTGGAGGAAAGCTAGTGCCCCCCAGTCGGTCGTGCTGAGATAGCGATATCGGTCACTCCACTATAACATATAGAGGCTGTAACGTCCGTGAGCGTAATCACGTGACAGCAAGAAACGTGACCATCCCCCTCACTTGTGCGCGCAAATGCGCGATTTACACACAACCGTTCCGTGTAATCACGGAAAACAGTTTTTTATATTAAATTTCCTTAGTATTTTCTTTCTATCGCGTGTACGTCTCGGAAATTTTATTACATATTTTATATCACATATATATATATTATGAAGAGTTTTTTTATATAACGCGTTTAATAATTTTTGCAATTATCCGATTAACGAAAATTAATTATTACAGATTGTGAAAAAGAGTTTGGTCGCGCGCGAACAATGCGATCGTTCATAAATAAGATTGCAAATGAGTGTGCGCAACGTTTGAATAATTAATATTAATTATTCAGATATAAAGAGCATTAAATTCAACGCGGTCGATAACGTAAAAAAAAAAACCTCACACGCAGAGAGCTTAATGGTGTCAAGGATTTATAGCAGATACCATATGTTTTTTCAGGCGATATATCCTCGTCATATGTGAGAATGATTGAAAATAAAACTTTTTTTTTTTTTTTCAATAACAAAAACGCGCATCAGTTTTCGTACGGTACGTGCTTTCCTTTTTGTTTTGTTTTGCGTGCGGTAAATCGAAATAATATAAAAGATAAAAAAATGTTTTATTGCGATCGTCACATTATTGAGACGTTTAACATAACCGCGTCGTTTAAAAAATTCGCTCGTGTGCAAAAAAAACTACTGACACGTTTTATGCAAATGTAATATGTCGATTCGATTACACGCTCGCGTGTGACCTTAAAATTGAAAGATAATAAAGTATCTGTAACAAACGTTTCTCCTTCGTTAGTTTCTTCGCGAAAGAGACAGATGGATCGGCGACGATTATTTTTCCAAGTACTTTCTAAGGAAAGAAGAGAACGAAAACGGTGTGCGCGTTCGATTAGGAAAACCACACGTTGTGTTTCGCGGGGCGCGTGCATACTCAATTTAATCGATAATGTTGAGAGAAAGTTTATCTGCCTCTCCGGAGCATTGCGCAAGTCGACTCTCGGTTAGAGAGATAAACGACATACGCTCGCGCGTGAACGAAAAATATCCGCGTGCCCGTATATAAAAAAAAACTCGCCGAAGATCGAGCGATCATTTTTCACCGCTTTCCGTTGGAAAGCCCATGCGTGTCTCGTAGAGATTAGGAAATGGCGACGATAATCGTTACGGAGATAAGATGTCCATTTGGAATTACGGAAGGCGGTGGGATGCGGTGTAGAGGAGATAAATTACACGTTGTTGGATACCAGCTACAAGCTCGATCTCTCTGCTACCTCTTCGCTAATTGCACACAGTGACTTGATGCTTTTTTTTTTTTGTTGATTATCTACAATTACATAATTGCAATTACCTTATTACAACTATATAAGAATATTAACTCACATGAGAAAATTAAGACATCACCAAAACCAAGTGGAGATGGTGTATTTGTAACATATGACAATAAATATTGTGTGTTACATATTAATAAATACATATACGTATACATTGTTTATCTGGAAAAAAAAAAAAAAAAAAAAAAAAAAAAAAAAAAACGCATTTTTATTCCCTTTTCTATAAATATTTCTTTTTTTTTTTGTGTGTGCGTGCCAAGTGCGCGCACAATTGCCGACACGCTTGACTGACTCTGATTCGCCAGCGAATGTGAATGAATTTTTGATCGCGATCGCGATCGATTCTTGTGCACGCAACGAAGATGCTTTTAAATTCCCTTCGTCGTTTATATAATTTCGTTGCTTCTCGGCTCGGTTGCAGATCCTCCTCCTACAAAAATGAGCGTCATAATAAGACTGCAAAATTTGGCGTGGTCCGCCAATGCACTGGACATACGACAATTTTTCAGAGGACTTAGTATCCCGGAGGGTGGCGTTCATATTGTCGGTGGCGAGCTAGGGGATGCTTTCATCGCGTTCAGGTAATTATCATCATCATCTTCATCATCGCACGTCAATCCGCCAGCGTGCTGTGAAATAAAAAGAGGAAAATGTGTGCGGCTGTGTGCGGCTCTCTCGTTCAGAGTATCAACTAGTTGCGTCTCTCACGATGCACGCACGAGTCTTCAATCGCAAATACAAATTTTTATTTTTACTTGTAGTACTCACGATACGATAAATTAATTAATATTATAAAAGTTTATTAATTATATAAAAGCTTATTAATAGAATCTAATTTTTAAAAAGTTAAAGATGTATAATAAAATTTTTTTTCCCCGCTGTTGATGTTTAACTCGAAAAGCTAGTTTGCAGAAAGTTTAAACAAAGTTTATATAACAACTCGCTAATAAGTATGAAGTTAATTTCCAATAAATCTTGGTATTAGCCGTAGCTGTAGCTGCTATAGCTACTATAGTAATAGTACAGTTAATTAATATTTTTGATTTTATACGCTAAACAATTTTTAAAAGGGATTGTGAGATCATCTGTAAATATTTTTTCAATGTTGTGAATCGGAGCACTTAACGAGTTTCTTTAACAAATTCGTGTATTTGTTAACAAAAAAAAAAAAATCGCAACACGGAATCTCACGGAAAATCCATCGTTTCGCTATTGCAGCACCGACGAAGACGCCCGACAGGCTATGATGCACGATGGCGGTAAAATTAAGGAAATGAAGATTAAACTGCTGCTCAGTTCCCGTGCCGAAATGCAGAAAGTGATCGAGGCCGCTCGGCAACAGACTTTGAGTTTGCAGTGCATTATGCAGACCGCGCCGGTGACGGTGCCACCTGTTGTTTCTGGCAAGCAGCCCGGCTCACCGGTCGCGGAAAGGAAGGAGAAGGACAACGACAGCGAGTCCGGCAAAGATCGAAAGGACAGACGTGATCGATCGAGATCGCGAGATCGTTCGCGCTCACGTGACCGTGATCGCGATAGGGATCGTCGCGATCGAGACCGCGGTAGGGATCGACGACGACGGGATCGGAGCAGGTCGCGGGACCGAGAACGGCGCGATCGAAGGCGTCGTCGCGATCGGTCCAGGTCGCGCGATCGCACGAGATCGCGGGATCGCGACGCCAAGAGAAACTCGTTGAACGATCGGCGCAAAGACGAGGACGACACTAGCGATGTCGTGTGCGTAGGCCAATTTCAGAAGGACAAAGCCGCCGGGAAGAAGCCGCTTGTGGAAAATGGCGTGTGGGAAGTTCCACCTCAGACGCAGATGCAAACCGCTCTCCTGGCGCCGAATATTCTTGGCGCCAGTGTCGCCGCTCTGTCTCAGGACACAGCGGATGTTCAACGCTCAGCCATAGCCAGCTTCGGTACATCAATGATAGGTCAGCAGTCTATGTTGCAATCGGGCCAGTTCGCTATTAACGGTCTGAACGGTGTCAGCAATCTCATGCAGCCGCACGTCCAGTTGGGACACGCGGTAGGTATAACGCCGCTTTCGCAGAACTTAAGCAATATGAGCGGCCTCGGAGCGCGCTCCAAAGATCTCTGGGGTCAGAACGACAGCAGACTGGATCAGACCGGGCGATTTTCTGGACGATCGAGTCAATTCAAGAATCAGGAACACGGTTACCGTGGTTCTAGGTCGAATACTTTTATGAATAAGGTACAAGAACTCGAGGGTCGTCGCAATCCACATGCATTCCAATCTGGCTCGTCCAACTTCGGCTACGACGATCGCCAGACTTCCGGACGGAAATCGGGTAACTCCAGATTCTCCAACGATAAAAACGGGACCAGCAATAACAGCACCGGCAGCGGTGGTCATTGCGTGGAAGTGCGCAATATGCCGTTGAGCGCGACGTATGCGGATCTACGACACGCGTTTCAAGGTATCTATATCAGAAAGGATTGTGTGAAAATGATAACCGATAATCACGGTAACCGTGTGGGCATTGCGTATATCAAGTTCGGTAAGGCTGAGAGCAAAGAGCTCGCAATGAGCACGACCAGATACGTGCGAGGTTCTGAAGTAGAAGTTCTTCACTTGGACGAGAGTATATTCGACAAAGCAATGATCTCTTACTTGCCCGATAAGGAAGACGAGGATGATGTGCGAAACTCTTCGTGCATCCTGCTGACCGATCTACCGTCCTTTACCAAAGAAATGGATATCGCTAAACTGTTTCACGACTGGAAGATCAACGATCTCTTCATTACCAACAGTAAGGAATCCAGCACCGCTCAGTGCATAGCTTACGTGCAATTTGCTCGGCTCGAAGACGCCAAATCATCGCTGAGCACGGCGCTCAAGATCGGCAGCAAATCCGTGACCGCGACCGCAATCAGCGAAGAGAGGTTCGCGCAGGCGAAGCGCGAACACGAACAGTCGAGCGCGAATCAGACCGATTGTATTCTCATGCGCGGTTTGCCATTTCAGACGGCCGATCGCGACGTCTTTGACTTCTTTTCCGACATTGGCATCGTACCAATTCGTATTCACATGATGCTCAATCAGCAGGGCAAACCGGCCGGCGAATGTTTTTGCGAATTCGACTCGGTCGAAAAAGCGGAACGCGCGCTCAGTAAAAACGGTCTACCTTTCGGCAAGAACATACCCACGATCGAGTTGGTGCCGCGCGTCAAGATGCTCGAAACTCTCGGAATGATGGAGGCGCAGCAGCAGTCGCAGCATTTCTCACCGTTGCAGCAGGATCAGCACCAAAGACCGCCACGTTTCACCGGTCCGATAGGTCACTTGCCGCGTTTTGCCAACGCCGGTTTCGGACCGCGCTGCCCGCCCGGCTTGATGGGGATGCCGCGTCACATGATGGCGCGCCATCCGCCATCCCTGGCCGATTGCGTCGAGGGATTCGGCAAGCCTGGCTGCGTGTTATCGCTCGAGAACGTGCCCTTCAAGGCGGACATCAACGAAATAATCGAGTTCTTCGGCGACTTCGACGTAAAGAGGGAGAACGTGATTCGCCGATACACCGAGAGGGGTATGCCAACCGGGGACGCTCGAGTGGCCTTCTCGTCTCCGAACGAGGCGCAGCGTGCTCTCAAAGAGCTCAAGAACTGTAAAATGCGAGAACGCACCATATACATGAAACTAGCGTGAGTTCTTCCGCACCGTCTCCCTGAAATGGAGACAGTACTGACAACGAAGACGGACTTGAAGAAACTGCGATGAGGCGATATCGCATTTAATATTCCCCACACACGCGAGAGCAACATCGGTGAAATGATGTTCCTTTTTGATCGCGGGATTGAAGAAGAACCCCCCGGATTGAAGAGAGTCTCAGTTGGCGAATCTACTGCGAATCAAGATCCGGTGTTGCTTGAGAGAGACCGCACACCGACAATTATCATAAGAACCACCTTTACACTGATTGTAACACGTCTTCTTTGTATATGAAAACAAAAAAAACAAACAAAAAATTTATACTTCCTTATTAGAGTAAATACCTTATTGCACTGACGATCATAGTCGCCGCGCGCGCGCGAGTGTATGTTATATTGAAGAACGTAAAAAGAATCATTTAGATTTATGAAAGAAAGTCATTTTTTTTTTTTTTCGACGACTATATGCGTATCACACCGCCCGAATCTCGGTTTTTCTCTTCTTGGTTGTGTTGTAAGAAAATCTACAAACTATCAGAGAGAGAGAGAGAGAGAGAGATTGTCGAGCAAACAACAACAACGTTGCCAGCACGATCGTTCGAGTATTGCTCAGCTATGATAGTAAAGTAATCTCATTTGTGTATTAGCGAATTTTTTTAACTGTGTCGCTCGTACTGGTGACGACTCTTTCGAAGGACGACTATGAAAAATGTAGCAACTTTAGAATAAAACAGACGAACATTACAGAGTGCATTATAAATGAAATGCTACAAGCTGTTTTTTTTTTTTTTGGTTTTTTTGCGAACGTATTTATTAACGGCACATTGTTCAACGAAAGAGTTAACAAAAACCTTTTTTAGTGTGATGAACAATTTTTGAGAGGTTTTTTCTGTGTCGCTTTCAAATATAGTTTCTACGGGAGAACAGCTTGTGCATAAGAGTCTATATGCGCTACTTGTGTATACATACATATTACATATATATATATATATGTATACACACAACACACATACACACACACATATATATATGTACTACGAAAAAGAGAAATTAATTTTATTTTGTATACTACAACGCAAAACCAAATAAAGTTTGTTATGTCAAAGTACAAAGTTAGCGGTTTGATTAGAGTTGTGCATTCATTGTTTTTTTTTTTCTTTTTACACGTTTTGTCCTGACAATATACCATTGTTTAGTTATGAGTGCGAGTCGATCGATGGAAAACCGACGACGAAAAACGTAAGTGTAACGAGAATACTACGTGTGTATGTAAATATGTTTGTAAATATGTTTATATATCGAACAATACGTGTGATTCCACGGTGGGGTAAATCGTGCTCTTCTCAATCTCACGTCACACCGAGAACACGTGCGCGTATTCGTCTAGAAAAAAAAAAAAAAAAAAACGATATTCACAATACACCGACAACAAAGTGATTCGCAATAATACAGAATTTCTCGGCGATCTTGTACGGCGTTACACGTGACACGTATTTAATTTATACACATTTGCACAATCGATAATATATGTATATTACATATATTACACACATATGTAGATACAACAACAACATAATCTCATTCTCATCTGTATTCATTAATACCGGCGCGACATCGTGCGCGTGACTGGCCTTGTACCGAGTAACGCGAGACAAAATGTTAAACAACTAATAAAAAAAAAAAATAAAATAAAAGAACACGAGGTATATATTTGCAACTTTGTTTTGTTCGAATTTATTCTGCGCGCAGTTGTTGTTGCGCACTTGTGTTAAATAATACTCGTCGAGGACTTGGAGACTTGAATAAAAAATTTTTGTCCACAAACCTCATTGCCGCGTGTGTGTTAATAACAATATTAGTTTTTTTTTTTTACCATCCCGTAAACAAAATTTCAAAATTTTTTCAAAACGGTTTTCGCATCTTTCGCAAAGCCGCGTGTTTCGCGAGAAACAAAAGTCCTTGCCGATAACTTTTTGTTCGCCCACCATCATCGTCAAGTTCGAACTTATCCCTAACAGGATGTGCGTTTCGAATGCAACTTGTTTTCGCACCCGGCGACAGCGAGTTTCCTGTATAATACCCCGTTTCCTACGGGAGACTCCGTGTGACGAGCGAACTTTATATTGCGGCAAATCGGCGCTGCCTAAATATTGAGTCACGAGCTATTTCTGTAGCCGCGCCTCTCGAGCCGTAAGATCGAGAGCCGGCAGTGACGCATCTCGCTTTGTGGCCCTTGCGCGCGAACAAGACCTGCCCTCTTCGCACAATTGTAACGATAGATAACAATATTGAGAGCGAGCAAAACTCTCTCTCTCTCTCTCTCGTCGCGCGTTTTAAACCGACACGATCGAAGTTCTTTCTGTGCGCGAACGAAAAACTCTCGCTTTTGATTTTGACAGACTCGTCTTTGGGATATATTTTCTTGAGATCGCACGCGAGTTCTAAAACATTTATTGAACAAAGATGAAAAAAAAACAACAAACTTTTGGGATTATGTTAATTTGTTTGGCGAATTTTCGCACTCAAACCGTTTTTTCTTCTCGCTTCCTTTCGTCCGGAAAAAGACGATAGCGCGAGCGGAAGAGCATTAACTCCGGAAAAAAAAAGATATTACTGACTTCGTTTTTTTTTTTTTTTTTGTCTCGACATTTCATTTGCTTTTCAACAAACCGTAGGCACGGCTGGTGTCCCTAATGCATTGATTTGTTCGATTCTATTCGGCGATTTCCGTCATAAAAAAAAAGCGGCATCGCCTTTACACACAGGAACATCGCGATTAACCTTGTGCGATTTGCCGCCGATATATATTATATACCGGAAGTTTCGACTTTACCTATATCCGTTTGGCGCGCAAAAAAAAAAAATGTGACACGCAGAAAAAAAAACAAAACTTTTTTGTCGCGAAAAAAACCATTTTTCCGTCAAAGAGTTCGACACGCCGTGTGTTTTCCCATCAATTTTTGTGTTTTTTTCGCAAGTCTCGAGATATTTTGTTTCTCAATTGCGGACAGTTAAAACTTTTTTTTTTTTTTTATCTCGCTTCGATGAACAAATCGCACGATAACGTCTGTTAGCGACGGACGCGCGCGCGCGCGCGCACGTGTTTGTTACATAGTTATGTAACGCGATAATCGCTTCCTATACACACGATCGGAACACATCGTAACGCGCGCGCGAAATCGATTTTCTCCTCGTCGCGCGTTTACATTGTAACGGATTACGCAATCGATATTCGATATATCTCGCGACGCGCGAACGGCGGCGCGGCGAACACGCATACACGCGCGTGTACATACACGCTCCCCTTTTTGAACATCTGCGGGCGCAAGGACGAGCTGAAATTGAAGCGCTCGGCGAACAAAGAGCGGAAATCTCTCGGCGAAGCCGTGACAAACGGATCCGCGCCGGAAGCCTAAAAACAGATCGCGCCAGGAACGTAACGAAGGTAACAAAAACTCTCGAAAATAACCGATTGTTTGCGGCGCACCGAATTTCCGAACGTTTCCGGATAGAAACGCGCGTTTCGAAAAATCGACGTTAAAAAATCGAAAAGAGTCGCGCCACAATCTTCAGAAAGCGGTTTGACATGTTTTTTTCTTACGGATCTTTTTTCTTTTTTTTTACGTTCGCCACTTCTTTTATTGACACATGTAAATCCCATTACGCGTTCGGTCGACTCGTCGACCTTTCGCCGGACAGCTGAAACTCTTTAAGACACTTGTCACGAGATATACGCGTATACTTATATTGCGTGACGATGATACCGCGCGATGACGATACCGCGTGTTACCTAAAGTGGTGGATGCGTAATCCCTGCGAGTGGGCGCGCTTGACACGAAATATGACTGAAATCATCTCCTTTCGCGCAACTACAGAAGACGAGTCCGTCGGAGTACGGAGCACGCGCGACTATAAATTATCCGACGATTCGCGCGAGAGAAATATCGACATTTATTTTTCTTTAGAAATTAATTTATTTCATTAACCGTTTATACATCGCATTCTATTACAGCCCACGATTTTGCTTTATCTTGTTACTTGTGTCGTAGGGTAAAAGACCCAATTACTGTAACCTCCCATGTAGGAATTGCCGACAGACTTCCAGTAATACTACTAGGCCAACAATGGCCCAACCTTTATAGCCGATACTCGATATTGACAATTGGTCCAGTATTGTCCCATTTTTGTATTTTATAACAGCCCAATATTGGCCCGTTTGTTCACCAGTGTTCGGCATTCATATTGGGCCAGTATTGGCAAGAAGACGGGACCAATATCGGGCCAGTATTGGCAAGAAGACGGGACCAATATCGGGCCAGTATTGGCAAGAAGACGGGGCCAATATCGGGCCAGTATTGGCAAGAAGACGGGACCAATATCGGGCCAGTAT